GACTAAATGGGCTGTGACTGCTCGCACCTCGAATCTGTGAGTCTTCTTCCCTGAAATTGCCAGAGACCAGACAAAGATGGAAGATGACAGCATTCCTGACCCTGTGGGGGTGGGGGGTCAGAGTAGCCAGAGATAACTGGATAAAAGAAATGAGATTTGTTAATAGAGCCCAGAAAATCTGAAAATTGGAGCTTGAAGGAGAAAGACTTAGAGGGAACATCTGCTAGCAGTTCCAGCAGTGTGAGGGTGGGCTGGGGGTAAGAGGAGAGAGGGACGGGGAGGGAAGAGGGTCACAATATCCACCCACGCAGTTTCTAGGCTTGTTGGAGAGAAAGCTGGTCTCATTTGATGTAGACTACCCCCTGGATCAAAAAAACAGAAGTATTACAATCTGCTATTCATACAGAAAGTGCGAGTAGAAAAAAGGAAAATGCACATGTGAGGTTGAGAACATCTGCTGTAACAAGTCATTTAGAGACAGCTAAGCGGTGGCTTTAAAGCAAGTTGCTAGTGTTTGGTGGAAAAGATGAGGAATGGGGGTGGAGACCAATGGGATGAGAGTAATTAGGTCATGAACAGCATCCCGCCTGTATCTTTTATTTTCTCAGCACTCAGACCCAGGGTCTCGTCAGCAAGGGAACACTGTGATTAATGGCAGCAGCCAAGAATATGACATGGAGATAAATTGCTCATAGCACGGTACAGCTGGTGCCTGGGCAGAAAGCTCAAGAGACATACAACCAAAGGCCTGTACCAAACCTCATGTGAAGGAGACCCGTTTCTTGGGAATGTTTTCACTTTTATCCTCGAACCTACTTCATATACAGGGATAGACACTTAATCCTGTAGTTTTCCCTCCACAATGAACTGTCAAGACTGTGGGAGAAAATAATGACTAATGTACTCAGTCGCAGAGGAATCACTGATTACTTGAATATTGTCATTTAGTACTGCAAACTTTTATTTCTCTTTATGGAAGAGTGGTGTCCATTTTCCCAACACTTTCATATTTAGAGTCCGAAGTTTCAATATTCTCATAGTCACATAATCCTGACAATGCCACCATGTGTTAGTACGGCAGCGTGTACTTTCCTAAGATTTGCCAGTTTGTATTATGTCATTTAATCCCCACAAATGTCCACTGAGCAGATAAAGCAGGTGGTGTAATCCCTGTTTGAAAAAGTGGTAACAGTGGAAATAATGCTATTAACTTTTTTGCCCAAGTTCAAACTTGAGGCTCTTTTTTTTTATTTAATAATTATTTTAACTTCAGTTTTAATTTTTTAAAATTATTTGTCCAGAGAGAGATGGGAAGTAAGAGAGCAAGCAAGCAGCCAGGTCCAGGACTAAAACTGCTGTTAGCCATGTACGAGTCCAGCACCTTTAACCACCATGCCATCTGCTGGCCCCCAAACTTGAGGCTCTTAACATGAAAAGACTAGGTCACCCTTTTCTCTGTCTGTAAGCTCCTTCAAAAAATAGTATTGAAAAAAAAATAGTATTGAGATAATGGGGCTCATGGGGGTTCTGGCTGGGTACATTCCACTCAGAGTCTGCTCATAAGCTAATGACTCCCTAGCCCAGTTTTCCAGTCCTGATTTTGCCCCAAGCTCCATATTCAGTAACCTGCTTACCTGGTATATCTACAGGGTGGTTCATCAGCAGATGGACTCAGTCCATTCCCAGCCGAATTCATCACTCCAGCCCCTCCTCAACCCTCTTGATCCCGAGTTCTTTGTTCTAATAAATGTCACCATCCAGATCTCAGTAGCCTGCTCTCAGGAATTTATTTCTCTGTTCCATCTGCTACCTGGTTCAGAGCTGGGTCACCATTCTTTATCTTCACCACAGCCCTTTAGCTAGTCTCCCTACCACCACCTTTATTCCACTTCAATACATTTTTCTCCTCATGGCATTCAGGTTGAGCTTTCTAAAATGCAGATCTGATCAGTCTCTTCAAGACCTTCAATGGCTTCTCACATGTAAGATAAAGTCCAAAATTCTTAGCATAGCTTACCAAGGCCTCACAGAACCTGGCCCTGCATTTCTAATGTTTTGCATCACTCCCTTTCTCTCAGTGTATTCCCTATTTTAGCCATAGCGAATAGCTTCTGGAGTGTATCCTGCTCTTATTTCCTCCAGGCCTTTCAACTAGGGACTCTTCGTAAAGAATTCTTTTCCTTCAAGCCGCAGCCTAGACATTATGCCCTCTGGGATGCCTGCTCTGCCTCAGTTGCCCTCTGCTGTGCTCAAGATCTGATCTCTGTCCATTTCCCCTTCTAGACTGTATTTGTCAGGAGAGCAAGAAGCATGTCTGTATTGTTTGCCATTGTTTTCCCATACTGAGTACAGTGCATGAACTAAGTGAGTAAGACGTTTTTGCATTTTTGTTGTGTGATTAAGCATTATGCACAAGTTTCTTTCTTTCTTTTTTTTTTTTTAAGAGAGATTTTTGCCATAGAGCATTTGCATTCACCAAAGAGACAGAGAGGGAGAAAGTGAGAAATTACCCATGAGGGGGATGGCCACACCACAGTCCCTCTCCTACATTTTCTCAGGATTTTGGGTATGCTTGCACATGCACCTGATGTGAGTTTCAAGCCTCCATGTCCAGGACTCAAACTGCATTTGGCCATGTGGGAGGCCAGCACCTTAAGCACTGTGCTACCTGCAGGCTCCAAGCACAGGTTTATAGACTTACAGAGTTCTTTTCACTCTGACATTTCCCCACCAATATACTCAATATTCTCTCTCTGTTAAATATCTAGTTCCTGCTCATACTTGAAGCTATGTATGCCATGTAAATATCCCTAAAATTTATCATTTTTTCCCATCTTATAGCAGGTTATCTGCTTTATTCTGATTATATCTGGTAGCTTTTGAATGAACTTAAATATCAGTAACAAACATTTATTAGGTAATTTCTCTTTTTTTTTCCTTTTTTTGGGGGGGAAGTTTTTGCTATAGGGCACATGCGCTCGCCAGAAAGAGAGAGACTGAGAGACAGAAAGCGAGAAATCACTCCCCTGGGGGGGATAATCATGTCCCAATCCCTTCTCCATTCTCCTCTAGGGATCTTGGGCACACATGCACGCACACATGCCCGGCATGAGTTTAAGCCACTGAGTCTGGGACTCGAACCATGGTCAACTACATGGGAGTCCAGCGACATAGCCATTATGCTAATTGCAGGTCCCTATTAGGTAATTTCTATGTACTGAGCTTATTTATTACATATTAAAGGCATTACCTCATTTCATCCTTTCAATAATCCTACTAGGTTTTCCTATCCCAATTTTTCATGAGAGTAAACTGAAGTTTAGAAAGATTAAATTACTTATCCAATGTCTGTACCTAGTAAGTGATAGGGTTGAGCACAAGTACAGATCTTTGCAGTTTCAAAGCCCCATTTCCTGTCATAGGATATATAAAGAAGAAATCAAGCCAACATGAGAGAATTCTTAAATTCAGGTTGGAATTACCAGATAGCATTTCAAAAGAATTTCTAGTTTGATCTTTGCCACATTAGATATAACAAAAAACTTCCAAATGGGTTAAAGGGTTACAATTAAAAAAAAAAAGGAACTAGAAATTTCAGAAAAACTGGAGGGTATTTCTGAATATCACTTACCAAACTTCTAAAGCAGAATGCAGTTCCAAACTTTATCAAAGTAGAAGCCCTAAAATGAAATGGAAGTATATACAACTATAGTATATAAGATTGAAAATGTTTTTGAGTATCAAAAGTATAGATAAACTGGCACAAATTAAGTAAACAATACCCAGTGCTGGCATAGAAATGGTCATTCGCAGTTGGATTCAGTCCACTGTTGTTGAAAATGTTATGTTGTTGCTGATGTGTGCTAAGTAATCAGACCTACAGTGGTTGAGTCTACTGACAAGTGCAATCTTTTATGTTGTCATTGTTCTCCAAACCAGAGAGTGTAACAACTATTTACATAGCCTAATATGTAACTAGTTACATATTAGGTATTATGAGCAATCTAGAGATGATTTAAACTATAGAGGAGGATGTGCTTAGGTTTGCATAGGTTACATGCAAGTGCTACACCAACTATTATAAAGAACTTGAGCGTTGTATTTTGGTATTTGGGGTGGGGAAGGGTGAATGGTTTCTGGAACCAATAACCCATGAGTAATAAGGAATGACTATTGCCTGTGATACAGTAAAGCAGTAAAGTCTCTTGCTAAACCAGTAAAAGGCCATTACTAATTTAGTAAAAGTATATATAAAGCATAAAAAATAATACGCTTTTCAATAATTTTGCTTTTGGGATTCTGTTGTAACGAATAACCTATGGAACATGCTGTTTCCATGAATGTATTTCTGTAGTGTTTTTCGTAACACTAAAAGTTAGGGAAATAATCTAAATTGTCCAGGGGACCAGCAGTTAGCATAATGGCTGTGTCGCTGGACTCTCATGTAGTCGACCACGATTCAAGTCCCAGACCCGGTAGCTTAAACTCATGTTGGGTGTGTGTGCATGCGTGCCCAAGATCCTGAGAGGAGAATGGAGAAGGGATTGCGGCGTGGCCATCCCCCCTTGAAGGGGTGATTTCTTGCTTTCTATCTCTCTGTCTCTCTCTGTCTTTCTGGCGAGCACACACATCCTATAGCGAAAACCTCTCAAAAAATAAAAAATAAAATTTCCAATATGAGGATAATGGTTAGTTGAACCGCTAGGTAAAATAAACATCACCATTATTATCAGTGATAAGAAAATCTGCTTTCCACTGTGAAACAGTGGGGGGAAAATATTTTCATTTATTATTTTTACTGAAGTTCTAGGTGTACAAAATAAGATACCGGTATCATAAAAAAACGAATGAGATACTGCACATTAACATCTTAGACGTGGGTATTCAGGTAGAGATATTAGATGATTTTCTTTGCTTTAATTTCTAAGCTTTTGATAATATGGTTATTTTATTATGAATTACACACTCTGAATATAAAAGACTTACTCTTGGGCCCACAGGATGGGTTTCCAGACTTCCAGGATTCCGTGCACACACTCTTCCAGCAGGCTAGGGCGAAGAGTGAAGAACTTGCCGCTCTTAGTTCACAGGTAAATAAACTACCAGTTGTCGTTTCGTAATAACATCTGTAGGCGAAAAAGAAGTGACTGCTCCAGCTAACTTCAGTTTTAAGTATCTGAGGACTGAATTTATGTTTGTTTCTAAAAGTCATCTGATTCACAGCTGTCTCAAGATGGTGATAGCGACTTACTTAGATTTGGTTTATGAACAGAATTTGTATGGAGCTACTTCTCTGTCGTTATGTAGGAAATAAGGCAGATTCTTTACTAAAGAAAATTTTTAAAAAAGCAATTTAATATCGGGAAACAGCCACGTTGACTGTGGCTATATATAATTCACCTCTGAGATAAATAGTGCTATTCCTCAAAATACTAATAGACACCATTGTAATTATTATTAAATAATTTAAATTCATATATATTGAAAATTGTTGCTATATAGCTTCAGATGCTTTTGCTGTTATTTGTGCGTGACATTGAAGATAACATTTTAAAGTCCTTTCTGAAAACATTACCTTCTAGCACTGAAGTTTTTACTTCTCTTGAGCTTCTTCCTAGTGACTTATTTTTGGTTAAATTTAGTACTGTAAAGTTTTTTGTTGTTGTTGTTAAAATGAAAAATCCATTCTCCCCCTCAGAAATGATTATTGAACTTTCATCAATTAGTAACAGTGCAAGTATTTATTTTATTTCTCTGTGAATTAATATATTTCACCTATTGTTTTTTGTTTTGTTTTGTTTCGTTTTTGTTTTGTTTTGTTTTGTTTTTTGGGCTAAAGACTTCATGCCCTCGCCAGAGAGAGACAGAGAAAGGGGAATGTGAGAAATCACCCCACAGGGGAGATGGCTATCCTGCAGTCTCTTCTCCTCCATTCTCTCAAGACTTTGGGTACACATAAAGGCGTGTGCCCATGTAGTATCCAGCACCTGTTAATCACCACACCAATTGCTGGCCCATCCACCTATGGATTTTTAATATTGTGTATTGGGAATTTTTGTAACTTGTTTTATATATCGGCTTGTTACTACTCCTTTATATGGCATGGTAGTGATTCATATCTATGCGTATGTCTCATATCCCAGATCTACAGTTTGAATATGGACGTATAAGTAATTTACAACAGTGCAGAGAGGGGACATACCAAACACAGACAGACATAAATTTACATGTCAGCCAACTACTTGTGTATTTTAAAACATGATTGGCTGGGAAATAGTGCATTTTCATCCCATGGTGAAGGTAAAGATCCTTGTTGGCACTGATGTTTTTCTACATAATTTGCGTTGTTTAATTTTAGTGGAAGGTGTGTCTTGTGCTTCTAGACAGCCGTTTTACACCTTTTCTTCTCCAAACATACTGTCATCATGTCAGAGTCTGTGTAGTGCCAGGATCCTAAAATAAAAATGCCAAGATTTCACCCTGTGTGTTAGACGCAGTCTATAGCAGATGTTGCTGTTGTTCTTAGGTTTCTCTCTTTAAAAAATTCTTTAAAGGACTCAATACCTTGGAAAACAAAGCTATGGTTATTATTGCCTTTGAGCTGAGAGAGGATTCTCTTTGTAGGGCTGAGAAGAAAGCTTTTTTTCTTTTGTACAAAACCCAGCATTTTATGTTTTAACATGATGATATAGACATCTTTGCATATTTATGGAACATGTATACCACTTGAAGTGTGAACTAATTTTAATGAATACTAAATATATTTGCTGGAGTCTGAAATTGGCATTTTAAACCATTAAAAAATCTGGAATGTTTCAGTTACTGATTTTATTTTTTGCTTTACTTACGAGCAGCCTGAAAAGGTGATGGCAAAGCAGATGGAGTTCCTTTGCACCCAAGCTGGCTATGAGAGACTGCAGCATGCTGAAAGACGACTGTCTACAGGACTTTACAGGCAAAGTTCGGAGGAGCACAGCCCTAATGGCTTGACTTCTGATAACTCAGATGGACAAGGTGCATCTTTCGAATGACCTGTGCTCTTAGAGCCACCTTTGTATACTTCAGAAAGAAAGTGAAAATTCTCATTTTAAAACCTTGATTATGCTGAGATTACTTTATGGGTTCTCTGTCAAAATGAATTTTTAAGTTGTCCCATTTTTTTAAAAAGGAAAAAAATTCATTTTGCACATTTTAATTAGGTTTTTTTATTTTGGTTTGTTTTTATCCCTAGATAATAGTTGGCACATGTGATTGATATGTATTTTGTAAAGGGTGGAAATGAGAGATGAAAATAGTACAGGTCATTTTTCTCCATGAGAAACAGATTCTATGAGAGATGTTTATCTTTTTGGAAAAGTCAAAACTTCATTTATTTTTACTTCAAAAACAAATTTGTGAAATTTGCAACATTTGGTTCTTAAGAGAATATGGTAACTGCTTATAAAGTATTATGATAGTATACAACTCTTAGATTTAGAAAGCTGTGTGATTAGTGAGTATTCATATCATTTTAAAACATTTTTTTCATGACGAGAGTCAGAAGTCATTGCTATTTATTCATTCATAGCAGACTTATCTTAGTATCTCTCACGTGCCAGGCCTGCCTGTTAGCACTGAAGATGCAGCAGTGAGCAGGGTGAGTCCTCACACACTGGGAACGTACACTCTAGTGGAGCGCATTAAACCATATGAAAGTACATGCGTAGATCCTGCAGTTTCCAATAGTAATAAGTGTTTGAAGAAAAACAAGCTTGTGACGACATTTTTTTATATGTAACACTTTTCTAGAGTAGTTTCTACTGTCAGATAAGTAAGATTTCTTTTTAAATAAGAATTACTACCTTACACTTTCTTCAACATATAGTAAAATATTACACAAGACTAGATCACAATACTGAAGGAAAATTTTTTCTTTTTAACTATTGAGTCATTGAAAATAGTCATGACGCATTTTTGCATAGAAAAACAGAAAAAAGTGTATCGTGACTTTTCCGACAACTGCATATTACAGAAACTTTTTAGCTGAATCTTGTTTAACTCCTTCAATCATTCTTAACAATTAAGAGTGAACAGTTAAAAAGAAAAGACAATTTACAAAAGCATTTGTGACACCAGGATAAGTCACTGTGGGGTAGCAACTTTCTAATCTGATGGATTTAGGTTTATGGTAGAATATAACTGTGTATGAAGTGTTTTATACATATCTGTGCTAATTGTTTCTCATGAATTTTCCTGTAGGTCTTTTCTGTTTGTTTTTTAAGTAATCTATAATTGGCCTGAAGCCATCTCTGTCTCTCTTCCTCTCTTGTTATTTGTTCCTATGTGGTTAATGACATGTCTTGGTAAAATGGTTGCACTAGTAAGAGAATGCCTTATAGAGAAGATATATACACAAATGGGAATGCTCACTGTAAGTCTCAGTCTTTTATTTAATTCAGGTGTAGCTCTTAAAAATATCCAGTGTGAATGGTAAACCTAGGGACTAGCATGAAATGACTTGGCATTTTTCTCCTAAATTATTATTTAAAATATTTTTTCCATCTGTTGTTTAAATTTTTCAATTCCTATTGACTTTACTCGCTTATAAGTCTTGATCACACAATTTATGGAAGCCCATTTTAAGACAGACCGTGATGTGTTTTTAATATATTATTTATATTTTTTACTTTTTTCCCTTTCATTAGGAGAAAGACCTTTGAATCTCCGAATGCCTAATTTGCAGAACAGACAACCCCATCATTTTGTGGTGGATGGGGAGCTGAGCAGACTTTACTCCAGTGAGGCAAAGTCCCACTCATCAGGTGAGATGGTGCTGTGTGATTACAGAGAAACATTTAATACAATACTACATCTGCCAATTCTCTTCTACTTGCACTGGCATTCTCTGTCTCCTCCCTGTAAAATACCATCACCAACAATGTCTCTAGTCAATTTTTTTCACCCCTTGGGCATTATAGATTGATATAACATGACCAATATTTTTGTGTTTGTTTGTTTGTTTTATTTGTTTTCAGATTTTTTGCCATAGGGCATGTACACTCAGCAGAGACAGACAGAAATAGACAGAGGGAAAGTGAGAAATCATTCCCTAAGGAAGATGGTCACGCCATAATCCCTTCTTTGTTCTCTTCTCGGGATTTTGGGCACTCATGCACACATGTCCAGTGTGATTTTTCAAGCCTCCGGATCCAGGACTTGAACTGTGGTCGGCCATATGGGAGTCCAATGCCTTAACCACTCTTCTACCTACTGTTCCCGTGAGCAATATTTTTGATAATGTAGTATTCCAAAAAATGACAGGAAAGCTCATGAAAGTTGAGATTATTTTGATCAGCTATTAGGTGAATGGTGACTTTTCTACAAAAGTGTAACTGAATGATAAGTAGTTAATTTGAGTTTTGTTATTGCCTTTTTCTGGCAATAATATAATGTGAAATTTATGGACTAATGTTTTCTCTCATAGTAAAAAAATATCGTGTAACCAGAATCTCAAGTTCTTCTTGCCAGATGCGTTTTAGGGATGATGTTTGTATTTTGGAAGTAAAATGAATTCTACAAAGGATAAGCAGTTCTTCATTATAGTTAGATTTTTATGTATTTTTTTTTTCCCAAATAAAGTGAGGTAGACAAAGTTAAGAGACTAACACTAGTTGAAAGAATCTGTTAGCATTCAATCTTTGAGTTACAGAAAATTTAGGAGTCGCTTAATGAAAGTCACTGGTTTTATAGAGGAAGAAGTTGCCAGATAAAATGACTCTAAATTTGTATTATAAGTCAATGGGAAAAGTAGGTTTACAAGCATTGGAATTATACCTGACTTTAAATATATCACCCAAGCACAGTGAATTACTTACTTGGAAAAAAGCTATCGAGAGAGTTTCTTTCAATTTCAGCTTTGGTCCTAGTAGCAGATGCCTAGAAGGCCCAATTCCTAAGTAATATTCTGTATAGTGACTTAAGCGTGCTACTGCACACTGATTCTAGCTGCTTTAAAAGAATGTCCAAGAGGTTGACAAATTGAAATTATCCTAAAAGACCTTATCCTGGTCTCCTGTTTTCTAGTCTGAGAAAATAACTGATTTTTTAAAGATCTTTTAAAAGAAAACTTCCTAACAATTTCTCTTCCTTAGATGAGTCTATATAAAGAAACACTCCAATTACATTGATTTTATATATATTTATACATTTCTATTTATTTATAAATTTCTCACCATGGGGACACATTTTTGTATCTGTATTACACAGACATATAGTAGAGCTAGAGTTTTATGTAGAACAAAATGAAGGAATTCCTGAAAAAAATGTTTTTTTTGTTTGTTTTTTGTTTTGTTTGTTTTTGAGTACAGGTAATAGAGATACCATACAATGTAATCTCCTCACTCAGAGTTGGTTGAATAATCCCAGCTGCACTACTTAACTCTCAGTTGCTTCATCTGTGAAATAGAAATAATTCCTACCTCATAAAGTAGTTATAAAGATTAAACATAAACGTAATAGTATATGTGAATTGGAATGGCTGATAGGAATTCAATAAATGGTAACTATTATTTTTATTACTCCATCTACAGGACTTAAAATTCTCTTTTCAATAGACAAGATAGATTCATAAATTGAGCTACCTAATTTTAGATAAGCTATTAGTATTATTGGTTATCTTTCTAGAATTCTTTCAGAATATGTGTATATGTATGTTTGCACACACGTGTGTGTGTGCACATGTCCTAGTATTAATTCAGTTAGAGAGTGGCAAATGGAATATAAACCTGAAATCCAAGCTCTTAACCACAGCTCCATAAACAATTTTATATGGACTTGCAGAATCTCCAACAACTGATGATATTTGCTTTGGAGTTCGGGGGTTTGGTTTGTAACTTTGACTTTGTCCACTGATTTAAAATAACAACCTGCGTTGTGTTTCTGTGTTTCTGCAGAGAGCCTTGGGATTTTAAAAGACTACCCTCACTCAGCATTTACCTTAGAAAAGAAAGTCATCAAAACAGAGCCCGAAGATTCAAGATAGCTGTGATTCTCCCACTATTCTCTGGAGATGGCATCAGATTTAAGGATAATGCTCCATCATTGAAATAAGCCTTAATAACCAATGTTGCCTCATTCAGCTCAAACAGATTTCATAGCCAAAGCATAAGGACTGGTACAATAGTCTGTATAAATCAGGAAAATAAAACAACAGCCACAAAAGAGAAGACAGAGAGTTGCAATCTGTAGTAGAAATACTGATTCATTCACATTCCTGTGTAAGTCATTTTATGTAGAAAGGCTTACAGATTAATATTGTAAGCATTCATTATTTAAGAATGTACAATGTATTTGTGTAATTTATAGAAGTAAAATCTAGATGTTGAGACCTGTTTTGGCCCAATAGATGTGGATACAGTTTATTTTACTTGAAATTTTGTTGTCTACTTTAAGTGTGTTTAGCATAAATATCATTATACAACAGTTTAGAATCTTTGCAGTTATAAAGAAAGCTTAAGAGACTTAGTTATTGGCAGGCTGGCAGAATGGAAAGCAAATACTCAATTTAAACAAAGGAAAATAGCTGTGGATTAATTAAAAGCAAATACTCAATTTAAACAAAGGAAAATAGTTTTGGATTATTTAATATGTGAAAAAAGTGATTTTGTTTAATAGAATTGTGTGGCATTCACTCATGCTATTTTTACTGGTTTAATTAGTGCACATTTATACAATTAATAAATACTGAAGGAAAGTTAAAAAGATGAGTAATAGAGTAGAAATTGTCTCCTGACTCGTTTTCCCAGATTCTACTACCTACTAGCTACTTAATGTGTACCAAGATAGGAAGCTATTACTTGGACAGACAACTCAAAATAAGTTGACCGATGATATATAAAAAGCTTGACTTAAACATTGATATTTCAGAATGTGTTAAATAGATTAGGACATAATAAGTTAACCCTACATGTGATAAAAATAGGGACTGTTAACAAAGGGTGTAATAGATTAAGTTACCCTTGTCTATCCAGAAATTCTCTACTTGCAGGACTCAGAGACTAGATGGCTTTCCCTGGGGAATGTCTCCCCACCCAACCATCACAAGTGTGGATAGTTGCTTCATCCACATTTGCAGACATATGTCTGTGGATATTTAATTGCCACCTATATTCATTATTTATTTTTTAATTTCATTTTTGTACATCTTTCAGATTTGTGAATCCAGTTTTTCCTGAAAATTCATTGTAACTTAAAAATATGTTCTTAATTTCCCCTATTTAATGAATGAATATATATATATATGGAGTGTGCTTAATTAAATGTTAATAATGTACTCCTGAGAATTTTACATTTGAAATCCATAATGATAAAAAAAAAAAAAAAAGTACAGCAGCAGCCCATATTTTTTTTTTCTTCTGGTTTAAGGGAAGATATTTGACACCTTTACCTACTTCCTACAGATTCTTCTAAACCCAGATATTACCTAGGAGACCATAATTTACATGGGCTATGTGTTTTTTTGTTTTCAGTTCTGCTCTAAGTCAAAATAAGTTCTAATCTTTTAAACTAAAGTTTGTCAACCAAATGTTAGATGAAATGTCTGCACTGTAGTCTCTGATCACTGTCACAGGTATAATTGCTTTTCATTTTGATTTGTAGAAGAGCTTAGTAGAAACACCAGTAAACAACTTTTATACTACTAAAAGGCTTTTTTCCCTTCCTGAATGTTTGAATTGTAAGGTAATGTTTTGCCCACTGAAGAAGCTTCTTATGGACCTTGCAACTTTGTTGCTAGCTTGAGATTGATTGTTGTGGTTGTATTGTTCACTGTGTGTAGAAATAGTATGAGTTCAATAGAATGTTCAGTTTTTAATATTAGCCATAGCACTGGTTAGTATCTCAGTAGTTTCATGAAACGTTTCCTGTATTCTAATCTATTTTGAGAAATTTAGTGGTTTTTTTCTTTATAATTGTGTCTTACAGTTCAAGTAGATTTTAATAAGCAACAATTTTTAAAGATGCAGTCATCTTCCAACTAACACATTTTTCATGGGCCCAACAGTTGCATCTTTAAATCCATGAATAAGTTTCCTTAAGTATCATCTTTTTCTGGTCTTTCAAGCGTAGTGATGGGGGAAGCACAAGAAAAATTTCAGTAGAATACAGTTTTTATTTTGTAAACACTAATGTATTAAACTTGCTATACATTAAAGCAAATAATATATATTTTTATTTGAATTGTATATATGAATTGGATGTTATAACTAGTTGATTTTTTTTTTCATTGTGTTTGAGGTATTTTCACTGAACAAGGTCAATTGGTTACCTCAGTATTACAGCCAATATAGTCCAAGGGACCATTTCTCCCTGAGTCTGTGTTGTACTTTATTGTGTGAAGTCTGCGTTTTTGTGACTCTTAAAACTGTCGGTGAGGTGGGACAAGTACACTTGCTTCCTGTGGCAATAAAGAATTTCTGTGCCTCACACAATTACGTTTATGGCACTTTCTGCAGTAGGTGGTATTAGCCTACTCACCTCCCCCGTGTTAATTGTTTGGACTGATTTGGGTGTTAAGGGATAAGTTTTGTCTGAAGTCATGACTAAATGTTATCGTCAGCCACCATCCTTTCTAAAAGGCTATTTCGTAATGTGTTCTCAGTCGACTTTCTCTTATCTGTCAGAGAACAGTTTATATTGTTCTCACAACACGAGTAGTTTTGAAGACATTTTCAAAACTCCACTGTTTTTAACCAACTACATTAATAAATAAAAGGAGAAACATTAGGATTTAACACATCGCATTTTTGTAAAATGCCGATGTGATTTGGCCTCAGTATTATTACTGATTTTATGAAATTGAACTAACCTGTAGTAAAGAATTAACAAAAGCATTATAACAAAGTTTTAATTGTTAAGTTTGTTAAGCTTTAATGAAGAGTTTCAATATGCCGAGCACTGTAATAAATGTCAACATGAGAGTGAAGCCCACAGAAGAAATTAAGATATACCCTTACCCTTTGGGAACCCAAAACCTAGTTGAATTGGACCTAATACCATGCATATCAAATATAAATTTGATAATGTTCGAGAATTGGCATGAATAAGGAGCAGGCATCTAGTGCCGTCTCTATTACATAGGTATTAGGGTAGGAGGCACTTTACAGGTCAAAGGAAGAACATTTCATGAGCAAGAGTCAAAAGACATCAGCCAGGACTACAATAGTTAACATTAAGAGGTGAGGTTTGAATAAAGCCATATAGGACATTTCAGTTGGAGGCACCATTTTGTTGTTGTTGAATTTGGTTTGGTTGGTTAAAGTATTGCCATTTTACTTATTTTTTTAAATTTGTTTATTCCATGAGAGAGAGAGGCACCCCCAGCAGGGTCTTTATGCTGTAATCCACCCCCAGCCCTATCCAGCTAGAATCCTCGGTATGCGCTGGTGCCATGCCCGCCTGTGCAGAGACCTCAGGATGCAAACCCGGAACGCTCCCATGTGGCATTAGCATCGCAGAGCATTGTATTACTGCCGAAGCATCACAGCTGGCCATGCAGGTTTTTTAAGATAGTTATTCATGATAGCATGTCAGAGGTGCACTTTGGACAGGATCTCGTTGCACTGTGATCCCCTTTCCCCACCCTCTGGCTCATCAGGACTTGTATCACTTGTGTCATTTCAGTCCAACCCAGGGATTTGTCATGGGGCCTGTGCCACTGCAGTTCAGTTGGCTATCGGCTGGACAAGTAGTTTTATTTTGAAACTGATCTGTTTGCCAGGATAATTCTTCTGACAATCACATTGAACCTGTCAAGAAGAAGAGGAAAGAAGCCTTTTTTCTGCCCTTAATTAGTAAAACACTTGAGTACAGCCTTTGGTTGGTAGAGTTGGTGATTATGAGGCTACTGACACCTCGTGTTCCTTTATACTTAGAGGTGATGGACTTAAAACCTACAGAAGTGTACAGGGAATTTCCCAGCACAGTCTGCTCACTTGGCTACTCAAACGGTGAAGTAGTGTTGACACGACACCTGTTTTGTGACTTCACCTTGTACTTCAGTGAGTCTTCAAAAGAAAACCAGTCAAGGTATTAACCTAATGAAATCAGAAGGTTGTCTCTCCTAGCAGATGAATTCAGTTAGTAAATGGCTGAAACTAGAATTGAGCAAACATTCTGTGTTTGTAGCAGCTTGAGGACTATGACCAAATATGGTAGTTGCTATTTAACTAAAAACCACCTTATGGTCCAACTGTGCATGGGTGGTGTTTCTGGGAGTCCAAGCTTGTTATCTGTGGGTGTCCTCATAAAAGATTTTCAAATGGGTTTCCAAAGTTAATAAAAGAATGATTCTGTGCCCTGACATTCATTTTTATTATGTGTACAATCTCAAAAACCTTGCTGTTTACTATTTCCTTAGTGATCCTGTACGATGATTTTAATTTCACATAGAAACGACTAACAGCTCATTGTTAGGGCCTAGCCAAGGTGGTGCAGTCAGTGGTATACTGAACTGCAGTGGTGAAAGCCACATGTCCAACTGAAGATTCAGTTGACTGGTCTTTGGCCCAGTCCACCTTAAAAGTGCTTTATTTTCTGGGCAGAAAAGACTAAGATGATCATCAACTTACTAAAGTTAGAATTAGAAGGGTTAGCCCCACAAGTAAAGGCACTGGATCCCACTTGGCAAATCATGTGGTTCGAGTCCCAGATCTAGTGACTTGACAAACACACCAGATACATGTGCTTGCATACCCAAAATTCTGACAAGATGGAGAAATGGAGGAGGGATTGTAGTTGTGGTCACATCCCATTGTGCGGAGGGGGGACATGCTCTCTCCTCTATCTCTGGCAAGTGCCCATGCCCTCTAGTAAATTAAAAATATATAGAGAATATAAGAAGAAAATTACAAATCTTTATAAGTTTAGCAAATTTTAGCACTGTTAAAGAAATAGAATAATGATTGGTTTCACTTACAAATTGGCTAATTAAGTTTATTTCATTCTTTCATGTTCTTCCTGTCAGAGCCACCTAATTCTTAGATAGTAAGACTTGTTGAATTCTGGGCCTCGTTAGTATCCATTTGGTCACAGTTTTCCAAGGTTATTCTTCCAACAATGAAGTGATTTACTTCCAAAGTATGCTCCAATAATGTTAAAGGTCTAGTGTATACCAGTAAATTTTCAATTAAATGAAATTTTGTGATTTTTTTTATAGCAATTACGTAAAATCCTTAAGTAAGGAGCATCACAATGAATTACATAAAATATTAATCATAGTTTTTATTTCAATATTGATATGAAATGCTTAACTACCATTTTTTTAATTTTAAAATATTCCGTTGACAAGAAATGTATATATTCATGTACATGATTTGGCATATATATAAACATGGTATACTGATTACAGTCAAATTAAGACACTAGTGAAAAATTGCCGCTTACTTTTTATTGATTTTACCCTTAGTACATCTTGGTCAGTTCACTTACCTTTATTAAACTTTCAGTAAATGTTTTTAAATATTTCTACATACAGTGTTCTACATGAATAAATGGAGAAAACCAACCTGAAGACTTAGGGTTCTAAGTTCT